CATTGCTAAGATGAAATTGATGTCTTAGGATTTTTTTAAAAAAGAAAGGTAGCTTTTAAAACCTTGCCGATTCACTGTGTGACTCTATTTTCTTTAAATCTTGAAAACACGCTGCTGAATGAACTACATTGGCCCTATTAAACTGGTAAGTATATTCTTAAGGATCAGATATAATTTAATAGTTTAATATGACATAGTTTAAAGAATTAAAAATCTAAATTTTGTAGCTTAAATTTTCATTTCTGCCCACTAAGTAATGAGCAAAATTTCCACAGAAAGTCAGAGTCCATGTCATATATTGTAAGGCCATGAGCTGAAAGGTAGAATTCTAAGAGGTTCGCATTGCTCTGCCCCTAAGGGGAGACCCCAGCCCTCAAGCACATGGCATTATGAATGTCCTATAAAATATGGGAGCCCCAGTGATGTGTAATGGCACTCTTAATGCCATCAGGAAACGAGCAATTTTTTTCTTTTAGGAACAAGAGCAGGGGATGCAGGGCCCTATGTGAGCAGCGCTAAGTGCACCAGCTGTTGTCAATCAATACTTTGGCCATTAATAGTCATTTAAGCTTTTAGTCCAATTTAAATGAATATCACTATGATGTATATTTCAAATCAGTTATAGACTCTAATCCTTCAATTCTGAATAATGAGAGCCATAGAACGTCGTGAGACTCAATTACCCATTGCATTCCTGGTGAGGAAAAAATATTGTGAGAATGTTGCCACCAATTTTTAAAAACCTCCTGTGGCCCTTAATACCAAGAGAAAAGCTATTGTTCATATAGAGGATTATTTGCACTTGGAGTAGCAGATTTATCTCCAAGGAACAAAGTCAAATCAAACAACACATATTTTAAGTTTAACAAGTTGGAAATTGTTTCGAACAATAAGTAAAAAAGCAGTTAAATCATCACTTTTTCTCTCATTTTACTTTAACTGCTCATTTCCTAAGGCCCTCTCCCTAGAGTGCTTTAATTGAATTCCCCAGCATACTGATAAAATGCATCAATATCTATTACATCTTTTGAAGGGTGTTTGAAACATATCAACAGAATACCAGCAGGAAGGCAGGGGGCAGACTGGGCTGAGGTATTATAGAAAATTCAGCATTTTAGAAAAATACGTCTCTTGATACAGAGGAAAATGACACGTATACAAAAAGGTGATGAGGGCAGCAGCAGTATTCGGCACAGCAGAGGAACTGTTAGCCAGGTTCTTTGGTAAGCATTAGGTACAGAATTACAAAATCTTAGAAGATGGTTCATTATATATATCTATGTGTAGGATGGAAATGACTGAGGTACACTTCACTCTCAAATGTGCATCTTCTTAAAAAAATGTTTTCAGGTTTAAATTTTCACCATAGTTTTGTCTCTTTTCTTCCCCATTGATTATCCTCAGGATCCTGGTAGGACTCCAGCAAGAACCACGAGTTCCATCCTTGATGATAGAGGGTTTTATCTAGTCTTATTCTGAAATTTTACTCTTGGACTCCCCAGAAAATAGAATCTGTCTGACTAATCCTGAAAGCATAAACAATATGGGATGCATCTGGATCTCACAGACAGCCTCTCCCCAGAATGATCATTGAGAGAACTGACTTATTTTAAAATACCTTTGGCATCTCTGAGAGATGGGAGGTTGAATCCCAGCTCAGCAGCTAATAAATTACATAAGCTTCACCTCTGTAAGTCTTAGCTTTCTCTCCCTGAAATGAGGATGCTGGACTTATGCTCTCTAAGGCTACTTCCCACTCTATGAATTTCAAATTTGTGTATAGCTACTGAGCACCTTATTCACTTGGCATCTCCTTTCCCTGTGTCATTTAGAAGTGTTTATTAGAAAGTCCTATCTCATCCCACTGTTGTAGTTTCAGACTGTTTTATTACGTCACCGACACAAACTCCCTAATAAACACTTGAGATACAACAGTTAGATCATCCCTAGGGAAGAAATATGAGAGGTCACTAATGCCATCCATATGGACTATTTTCAGAGACTCTCAGTGAGAGCTCTTTTAAGGTGAACATGAACTCATTAGACACATGGATGAGTAAAAGCACAGGACCCCTGGCATGAGTAGTTATTCAGTTTATGGGAAGTTACTTCACTTCTTTGAGATTCAGTTTCTTCCTCTGTATAATGAGAGGGCTGGTGAAGAAAACCTTGAAGAGCCCCTTAAATTACAACAACTTCAACTCTATGCCAACAAAAAATATTAAACAACACTAAAATAAAAGTCTTTTCACTGATTAATACAGTTCAAGACAACTCAAGAATAATCAAAATTCTAGTAGTGGAATAGTAATTTCCTCACAATTTTATGATCCTTTTATATCGCACTATTTCAGAAACTGCTTTCAATAACTTTCACATTAAAAAATTGTGAAAGAAAAAAATTGTGAAAAGATAAAAATGAGACTGCTCAACTTAATCTAACTCTCATAAACTTAAAGCCTAAACTGCCTTAATAATATCAATTTAGAGAAATGCTATTTCAACTATTGTGCAATAACTAATATTTTCTAACCTCAACCACAACTTAGAGTATGTCATGCAGTTTTTGAGGGTTAAAGGTAATATGAAAATTTTCAGGTTCAAAATAAAAGTTACATTTATTTATTATACTAAGTATATTTTAATTTTAGTAAGTCTCTCAATTTAACCAAAAGTTTTACACAACAGAATCACTAGTATATTGGGTTGGCCAAAGTCCATTATGTTTTTTCCATACAATGGCTCTGGTAGCACTTAGTTGTCTTTAACTTCACTCAAAACAATTCTGCTAGACTGTATTGTGATAGCTGTCATATCAGTGTGCATTAAAAAAACTTATTAAATTGGTGAATTTTGTACAGCCATTTTAATATTGAAAATGGAAAAAGATATGCAACATCTCTGGCATATTATGCTTTATTTTTCAAAAGAGATGAAAACACACCTGAAAAGCAAAAATAAAAAAAGATTGTGCAGTGTGTGGAGAAGGTGCTGTGACTGATTGAACATGTTAAAAGTGGTTTGTGAAATTTCTTGGTACTATTGACATTCTGGCCAAGTAATTCTTTGTCTTATGCATGGGAAGATGTTTAGCAGCACCCCTGGCCTCTACCCATTAGAGGCCAATAGTAGGAGATACCCAACATACTCAAAACATCCAAATCAATAAATTTATTGGTTAAAATGAAATGTGTCTTTTATTTTACAGAAGAAATGTAACAGACATTTTCATCAATGCAACAGATAAGCTGAAATTGGTTCAATCAAATGCGAGGCTATGAAGGAATCCTTCCCTCTAATAAGGATTTGTAATTTTAAAATCTGCATTGTTTTGCTAAACTATATATAGTCCTTTAATTTAATGCCAAGAATTACATTGTTTCTGGCTTCTCAAATTATATCCCATGTCCTCATTAATTATTTATTAGCCAACTCCAGAGAATGATCCTGGACCATTGATGATAGACAAGGGCAAGTAACTGGAGCCCCTGGCTTGACATCTGACAACATCACTTCCTTTCTGTTTGACTATTTTTCTTCAGCCTCATTGTGATTTTTCCCCCTCAGGTGAGAGTTTTGTTATGTGATTTAAGACCCTCAGTACAAAGAAATTTAACTCTATGCTCTGAATGGGTCAGCTTATCAATCTCTTGAAAGAAATTACACTGCTTAGCCCAGAATTTCTGCACCTGCTCAAGCGTCTCAGAGTGGGATCTAGATAGGTAAGGCAGTTCTTATGGTCTCCACTCATGACTGCATTGTTATCATCCGGACATCCTGTGGTTAGCACATGAAATGCACACTGATCCCCTTCCCGGAACCTCAGCCGTATTAAAGGCTTCAGGGCTTCCAAAACGAGGCAAGTAAAATATAGTAAAACTATATTCTTTGCTATGAGTTATAGCAATGCTTCACCTGTTTCCCCTGTATTCAAAGTTCCTATTCATTATCAGGCTGAGATAAAAGTGGTAAAGTGAACTATTTCATCAATAAGATCAGTTTTTAAACCACTGGTGTCTTGGATTTTACTTCAAAAGATGAGGGTACGGCCTGGATAATCTCTGTCACATTTAATTCTGAAAGGGATGACATTGTAAATTACAGTGGTAGAGCAACACTTTGAGAGTTTAAAATGCTAAACAAATACATTTCCACGCTCCCCCCAAAAGATACATAGCAAATTAACACTAATAATGACAGTAATTACGAATTAGAAAGTCTAAAACCAGGCCAAGAAATAAAAGTACTGCATAAAGAATCTCTTGTATATTAGAAGATAAAACATTGCTCCTATAATTAAAATGGATTTGGAGACAATTATTCCAATAAGAGGGGTGGAGTACATGTCTGCATTTTTCTTCTTGAAAATTAGTTGACTTAAGAGGATTTACTTCTGACATTTTTGTGATATTACTTTTAGAACTTTCTTTTCTTTAGACTTTTATTTTATTCATTTTTAGAGAGAGGGAAGGGAGGAAGAGAGGGAGAGAAACATCAATGTGTGGTTGCCTCTTGCACGCCCCCTACTGGAGACCTGGCCAGCAACCCAGGCGTGTGCCCTGACTGGGAATCATCAGATCCGTGACCCTTGGGTTCGCAGGCCAGCACTCAATCCACTGAGCCACACTGAGCCACCAGCCGGACTTCTAGAACTTTCTAATGCCCTGGGTCCCTCTTGTGACTGCAAACATCCTTCCCAGTTTCTATCATCACAAACAGCTCTGGTCTGACTCCTCACATGACGATGCCCCTGCAGCTGCCAACAGACTCGAGATGTCTGCCTAAGAACATGACAGTGACATATTTATGGGGTGACAAGGCAACTTCCCACAGCTCACCTGCAAAGAAATGAGCGTTCATCTTGCTGCAGCACCTTTCACCAACCTAACGACTTCTCAACTGGCACATTTTCTCCAGTTTCAGTACTTTGCCATCTGAGCACGAGTCTCTAGTTTCCCAAGCAACAAGTTTCCCATCAACCCTGCAATGTCTGCACTCACCGTACACCATCGCTCCTCCCGTCTCGTGCAAGAAGCGAAAGCGATGATTTTTAAATAACCAGATGGTCAAAATGGTAAGGATGAGCAGGAAATTGAAGACGAGCAGCTCCACCGCTCCCTGGTGTTGAAACTGATACTCATCCTTCCCTGCCAGGAGTCTCTGCTGCCTCTCCATCCCCAGCTCCTATGGAGTCTTTAGATAAAACCCTAAAGGACTATCCACCCGAAAGGGCTATTTTGTCAGATTCCCCTATGACAGCCCGGCTGCCTGAGGATTTCAAAGTACACGCTGCCACTTAAGTTGCCACTTAGAGCATTCTCCCTGGCTTGGTGTTCTCACGGCGGCTTCTCATTTCAACTTCCTGTTTCTCCCTTAAAGCAGCCCTGTCGCTTTTCAAACTCCAGTGCAGTTTCACCGTGGCTCTCAGTGTCTTAAAATAATTACCTTCACGCAATTACATTCCAAGCGGGACAAGCCTCTAAGCAGTGATTCTGCAATCTTCATTCAGGATCTTCTTGTTTCAAACAAGCCTCCTTTAGCTGCATAACTGGTGAATTGTAGATAATAAAACAAATCACCTGACATCAGCAACATTTCTAAGTGCAAAAAGCCAATTCCTGAATTATAACCTTTCTCACATGTGAGGTTTTTCCTCCCCAACCAAAGCCTGCCAATGTAATGGGGGTTGATAGCTCTAGTTTGAGGTAAAATGATTTTACAGGGATTTTTGTTTTTAAATCAAATAGCAAGAAACAATTTAGCATATGACTTCCTCTTTGTTTGAGTTTATATAACAGGTAGTCACAAGAGCAGCATTTAAACTCTGAATCAAGTGTTCTTCTTTTAGCATGAATAAATGAAAGCAAAAAGACAAAAAGAAATAGTTTCCATCTCTACAACTGTGCTATTTGGATACGTTAAATCAAAAAACAAAAGAAACCAAACATACAGCTGTCTTCAGTGGCCACATACCAGAGTTTTTCTCTGTGGAGCTTCTGGCTCAGACATTCAGGGGCCACAGCAATCTGCAGCACAGGACAGCCTCCTCTGTCCTGTGGCAAACAGTGTGGTTCCCTGAGGAAGAGTCTTCCTGCCACAAGGAAAGCTCCAGAATCACAGGGCTTAGACCTTAACAGTCACAATTCTTCGGATGTGGCAGGCTGGTTCTGTTTGAATTCTTATTTGTATGCTTTTTTAAAAAGTTCAAGACAATACTCCATGGGCCCTGATGCTTTCTTAATAATTGTTATGACTCGTTTGCCTTATTGATCCTACGGTGCAATTAGATACAACCCAAGATTAAGTGAGTTTTTCATAATTCTGCAGAATTATTATAATTCCAGAGTACTAATTATCTAGTATCTCTATACTTGACACAATTAATATTCAGTTTATACAGTATAAGTGATTCACTGAGTAGGATGAGTGCAAATATTCTTCAAAGGGTCTTGTCACCAAACGCTAGAGGTCAAACATGTAACATATTGGGAGCTAACTAGCTCCTCAATAGCAGGCTCGCCCCCAGAGAGAGTCTCTCAGGCACTCTCCATCGAAACTCTGCTGTTTCAGCTCCTTTGCCTTCTGCAGCTCTAGCAGCTATTTCCTCTCTGGGTTGAACTCAGCAGGGTATTTATGCGGCTGCAGATGTTCTTTAACACTCTGCCCTTTTTGGCAGGCATATCTGAGATGACTAATATTCAAACTGTTTTGAAATCTGTCAGCTAAGGCTTGCAAGCACTTCATGAAGCCTTGCTAGTAGGTTCTACCTTTATAATTTTGCAACCCCACAAGTCTAGACTTAGGTTGTTAGATTTGCAAGATAATGCAAATTTAAAACCTGGCAACATTCTGTCTTTTTTGGGGGGTAGAGAAGGGTTCATCATTTAATTATTTTGGTTTCTTTACTAATGATGCATAGTCCATTCAGGTAGAATAAACTTTCTTGTGTTGTTTTATTATGACACCCAATTTCACTATCTTAGGCAAGGAAGCAACTCAGCGAAAGGATTAAAGGCCCATAAGATGTTTTGATAGATTCTTACATTCTTTTTGAAAGTCCTAAATTTGATGTCAACATATTCAAATAAGTATATTTCTTATAAAAAACAACAGACACAACTTTTCTAGGAAATACAACTGGTAAACTCTGGCATACTGGGTCTTCTTTTCCTTGTGGCCACAATCTGCCACAGCTGAGTAGTTGCAGCACCCCTTTACAACCGGTTCCCACAAATGCCATTCACTTGTTCATCCTATTGTACTTGTTCCCTTCCCTGCATAGCCCCCTGCAGTCAGTCTTTTGTACCGTTGGCCCCTGGTTTATCCCAGAAGTGGGATGGACTCACTATTCCATTGTCCAGTCCAGTTGTGATGTTGCTTAAGATTAGAATGGACAGCTGAGAAGAGAAAGGAGCTGAGGAAACTCCTCCCATTCTTTCACCCAGAAAAGTATTTCAATTCCTTCTAGTTTGTGTTTTCCTATCAAAATATCATTTTACATTCTGCTGTACCAACAAAAATAAAAAGATGAACTAGAAATACATATCAATTTGTTATCTACTAAGAGCCAGAAAATGTACTAAGAAATTTAATTTAGTCTACTTTAATATTTATAAAATCCTTCCACAGATGAGAGATTTAAGGTTCAGAGAGAGTTAGTAACATACCCAAAGATGCACAGAGAGTAGGAATTAAATTTACATGTAGGATTTAATGGCCAGAAGATGCATTTCAGCTAGGGTGATGAACTCAGCTTGGTTTGTCAGGGACTTTCCAGGTTTTAGCACTCAAAAGTCCCAAAAGTATCCCAAGACGACTCCTCAGTCATAGGCAAACCAGGACAGTTGGTCATCCTAAACAGCTAAATTTTCCAATTTTCCCAAATCCTGAGCTGTCAATAATAAGTGAGCTTCATGAGATTCCTGATGGGGATATTCACACAAGGAAGAATACCAATTAAAAATGCAGGCACGGTTTTATTAGCTGGTGACCATATCTGTTAATGCCAGGTTCTCTGATGAAGTTGGGCTGGAACCCAAAACTTAGGCACAAGGTCCAAAGAAGAATTCTTGATTGTCCTTTAATCCAAGTCTTAACACCTACTGTCAACTGAGTCACAGTTTCTTGCTGCAAGATGCAACACGCAGGTGAAAAAAAGGGAAGAGAAAAACAGGATGGGCCAGCCCATTGCAGTGAGGGTGCCTCAACTCCGCTTGCCCATTCAGCGCCAGGGGAGGAAAAACCTGAAGAGGAGCCTCGCAGCCAAGGTGACCTTGTGCAGCATAGTAATCCCAGCCACTGGTGAATGTGACCAGTTAGAACTCATAGGCTGTGTTTTAGTATCCCACTCATGTGTTGAGAGCACCTTGTCCTTGGACAGGACAGTGGAGACTGTAGGTTCAGAGGATGGAGAAGGGACCATTTCCTGGGGAAGGAGAGATACTGAGAGGTCCCTTCCCCACTCCCTGGAGCCCCATCCTGCCAAGTTGTTGTTCTCTCTCCACTACTGAGCTTAACCGAAAATACTTAAATCACCCCAGGTCCTGGGTTAGAGGAAGATCCCGTTGCCTCATTCATCAGGTCTCTCTCCTGATATTTATTCCTCTCTGTGACGAATGAGATGGGGTTTCATATTCTGTCCCCCAAAGTTTCTGAAATGGGCCAGGACAGGGCTGTAATTAAGTTTACTTGGGGGCCACACAACACATTCAACTAAAAACTCACCCCTTATTGTACTTTCAATCTCACCATTAACCCATCTGTTAAAGTGACTAAGTGAGCAGCGGTTAGGTGGGCAGCTCTCTGGCCCAGATCACCGTGCAAGCAAACCAAACCTAAGCCGGAGTCCATGTGCTCAGAGCTAAGAAAACGAAATTTAAGAAAAACCAGTCAAAAACAGCCAATTAGGCTTTCCTAAGTAAGGCAACCACTTAAGCTATGGCCAATTGGATCATTTCCTTGCTTCATTCCTACATTTTTGAAAGCTTCTCTTGTTGGTGGAGTGCCCCTAAACATTTTCCATTTGATGCTGCCCCAGTCTGAATGCATGCATGCTCACATGAATTCTTGAAAATTTTAAATATCTTTCAACATGTCTTAGCTTCCCCTATCCCCCAATTCACGTTAGTATAAAAAATGTCCCTAATTTGAGCAATATGAACCCCTCACATAAAAATATTCTCACAAAGACCAGGCAGTGAAAGACAAATACCATGATCTTACCTTTAACAGGAACCTAAACAACAAAACAAAGAAACAAGCAAAATATAGTCAAATACACTGAAATGGAGGACAGGCTGACGGTGACCAGAGGGGAGAGAAGAGGGAATTTCAGGGGAAAATGGGAAGGGTTTACAGGAACAAATATGAAGGACACATGGACAAAAACTGGCGGGGGGGTGATAATGGGAGGGAAGTGGGAAGGGTTGGGTGGGTGGGCTGGAATGGGAGTAAAAGGCAGAAAACTGTACCTGAACAATGATTAAAAAAACTAAAAAATTAAAAAAATAAAAACGTATTCTCACAAAGAAATGAGAGCTTAAAAATTTCACAAGAAAGTTAAATTACATAATAAACACTTGAACAATATTAAGTCCCAGAGAAATTCACTGCCCTATATGCAGTTTTTCCTTTACAGCCTCTGTAGAGGCTCAACCTCTGGGACCTAGGGCCATGAACACAAGATATAACTCCTAGATTCTTTCCATGTTCTTTGTTAGGGTGGCAAGATTAAATAAAAGTCACTGCAAGCTAGTGAAAACGAGAGGGTTTGTATAATTTTATTAAATGACTTATGTACAGAAATATGTGTGACCTGAATGAGGGTCTTTTCCTCCTTCTACCAAGCAGGGTGTGTGCCAGCCATGCTCTGAGGAGGGAAATTGGGATGCAGACCTCCCTGTTTTCCCAGGTGAGGTTTTGTCTTGGGACTGCTGATCCGTGGCACCCAGGAGCACAAAAGTAGAACTCCATCCTGTGATTACCAGAGAGGAGGAGGATCCACTTGCCTTGGATACCACTTGCTGGCCTTGCTCCAGCAAACATATACTGGATCCCACTTTTTATTTAACAGTTTCTTCCTTGAAGAGTCACAGGGCTGTACAAAGTTGGAGAAAGGCAAATCTGACATTGTGCCTGTGATCCAGGCAGGTCGCCCTAATGCCAGAAGAGGACGACAGCCTCACAGCTGCAGCCTCAGGATTGAGGAGGGTCTCAGACAGATATCCTTCGATTCCTAAATCAACCTCTTCTCTCCCTTTTGTCCCCAACCTTCTATCCACACAGCACTCCTCCCTTCCTTCCTTCCTTCCTTCCTTCCTTCCTTCCTTCCTTCC